CCAAAGCTCGGGGCCTCTGGCCCTTTGCCTCCACCCCGGGGGGCGGCGGCCCCGAAGCGGCAGGCGCCGAGCAGTCTTTGGTGCGGTCTCGAACCCGAGCGGTGCCCCCCTTCGTATTCACGCGCCGCGGGTAAGGGCATGGGTGTCTGCCTTGGGGAGGACAGCCGGGAGCGAGGAACGCCCCCACCCCCGTTTCATTCAGGACGACTGTCATGTTTTGGGTCCCCATCAGAGCGAAGGGAGGGGAAAAGCAAGTGGCGTGCCGCTCCTGACAGCCCAGAAGGTCTCTTTAGAGAAGAGTTGGCTGAGCCTTGTCCCTTGGGTAGAAGCTCTCCCATAATCCCGCAAAGACGGTCTCTGGGAGTCTTAAAATCTTCGTTTCATCCAGCTCAGCCTGCAAATTAAAGACATTTAGGTACCTCTTACTCTTCTAAGCCTTAATCCAAGGGGGAAATGACCTTCTGTTTAGGTGTCTTGCTCTCCCCACAGTGAAGTTGGACCTCTGAGAGTAATTGTCTGTTAAAGCAGAGCCAGGCTTCAGTGCCGAAGGTGAGGCCACCAAACAAAAGGCCCTCGCCCAGTTGGGTTCTCTAGACCTGGAGCACTAACCCTCTTTTTCCCCAGGGGCTCACACAGAACGGCCTGGACCTAGTGGGCTCCTAGGGACTAACACTCCCTGTAACGGGAATTTGACCGTAAACACCAGAAAGACCCAACCAACAGCGTGGATTAGGCCGTACCAACCAGCTGGGAATGAGCGGGAGTTAGTGCAGCCTTCCTGGCTCAAACATCCACGGTCTTGGTCTTTGGCTCTGAACTAGCCGTCTTTAGAAGTGAGACCACTATGCCCAGGCCCCACTTTATAAGCTCCATATGAAGGGCCTGCCACTGAATAGTTACCCTTGGGGAACAGACCAGCGATAAGAATTGGCTTTGGTTGCCTAAACAGTGTGCCCTGAGAAGACCTCCTGTGAGTGTGATGGTAACGGTGACATTGCTGACCTTTCCACTTTTCTATGGCTCCAAGCACCAAGCAAAGAGCCCTTCGGGCACACTAACTAGTCTTCCCCCAAGATTAAGATCGTGCCTCTTCATCTGCGGTTCAGCCCACTTCCCTGTGGTCGGTGGCCTTGGCCATGACCAGGTGTGAGACTCCAGCCCAGCCTGATTCCTTTTCTACACAGCTCCATGTTCTATGATGAAGACGGGGATCTGGCTCACGAGTTCTATGAGGAGACAATCGTCACCAAGAATGGGCAGAAGCGAGCCAAGCTGAGGCGGG